GTAGCTTTTGTAGGTCTCGAGATGAAAAATCGGTACAGAGGCCCAGCGCACATACAGACACACACACACACAAACAAACCCTTGTCAATGTGCGTTTTTCGCATTGCATAGCTGCAAAAAACGCATAAAAACGAGAAGGTAAGTCATAGCTGCAAAAAACGCATAAAAACGAGAAGGTAAGTCGAGCAACTTTTTTTCAAATCCTCGCTATTGCCCGGTTTGTGCAGCAAGACAGCTTTCGACTTTCTCCAACTGCCCATTATCTTTGAACCAAGTACTGAATGAACCGAAAGGCCGGGTCTTTTCATCGTGTTTTTAAGATTTATACATAGCCGTTATGTTTTCCTCAAGAAGAAAAACTGCAGTTTGCCAGATTGTTTACTGCCCATGTGCTTATATTTTCATGTTTCTTTGCAGTTTTCGTGTTTTGAACCAGTTTCTCATCCACTTATCTAGTTTACATCACTTCAAATGAATTATTTACAAGATTTCATAAATTCGGGAATTCTAATTCATCTACGCATAATTATGATTTCATGAATTACCACAGGCTTTTTTGGTTCAACTCGCGTCTGGTCTTAATTCACCTTGATGGTTAAATTTCTTGCACGTGGATATGACAAATACTCAATTTTATCGCAAGCTCAAAAGCGAATGCATTTTGCGGATTTCGCAATCTTCCGATTCCCTTCAAATTTGCCCAATGAATTATCGTTCCCCGAAAAAACGAGCGTCTGCAGTCTGTAGGTTAAGGTGACCGTAGGATGCAACACAGCCATCCCAGCCTGTATGCAATAAAACACTAAAACACAGCCAACATATGTCCACGCATTAAATGGTAACGCAGGACTCAGCTATGCTTGTAACAAACTGGCCGCTGCAAGTCTAGTACAAAAACGCATGGCCGCATGAGCAAGCCTGGTGCGTCCCAGCTTGAATTGTTTTTTGTCCAAACTGCAGATGTTGCGCTTTTGCTGCGTAACTGCACAAATCCTAAAGGGCCGGCTCTACCTAATACTTTCAAATGTTTGTGCATGGGCAAATCACACTCAAGTTATGGCTTCCAAAATTTCGAACAGTGAGTGAACGAAAATTGCTGTTGAAATATTTGCATTTAACATTTATCCAGGGAGGATCACGTTCAAACTGTTATTACGATGGTGCATGTATGTGTGTGTGTGTTTGTGTGTGCAAGTTAAAAAATTGTTGTGATGGTTGAAATAGCTCGAAGCATTGGCCCGGGGCAGAAGGACTGGCGAGGAGATCCACGCCTTCGTCCCTATAGCACAGCCAGACCAACTTCCTACATCTATCACTGCATTTTGTTCTGCTGAAGTTTTCTCTTCTGCTTCACAGCTTCAAGCAGAAGTGCCTCGGTGCTTACAACTCACACAGCTTGCATCTCAGCGATCCGATTTTTCCCAGTCTGTTCCTGAAGTAGTTTTCCCGGCTTAGCTAGCCGGCGCCTTCGGTGTCATCATCACAATAACAACAGTAGCAGTGGTCATAAGATGACTGAAAACTTCAATGCAGCAGGTACCAGTTAAGATATAATTTTAATACTGGCAAAATAATCTTTTTCAGTTTAGCAGTTAGCTAAGTAAAAAGTTTTTATCGTCATCTGATCTAGCTCGGGTTGTGCTCGACGTTCGTATGCATTCTGTTTTAAAAACTTTTTAATCCTGGTAACAATTTTGCGAGTACTGCTGCACTTCGTTGGCAGTTTATTGGAAGTTCAGACGGAGAATTTTCTAGCTCGAGGGCCAAACAAGATAGAAAACTGAAATTCTAGGATACTTTTTGTCCAAGTGCGACCCTGGACATTTAAATTTACTTTCGCGCATGCCTGCGCCTCACATACGTATATGTGAAAGTTGAAATTACAGGTCAGTCACTATCATTCTAATCTGGGAATGGAATAATATTAAAAGCTGAAAATTTGATAAGGATGCTCCACGTTATGTAGGACCCCTCAAAATCTGAACTTTTAAACTTTTGCGTATGCTTCATATACAGGTGCGTGTCGGGAATTTTCTTGCTAGGCCAAGCGAAATTTCGAGAGTTCGTGCACATATCAAACTGCAAAGCAATGACCATTCTTAACAGCAAGCGCTCGCTCGATAGAACTGCTCAAAAATGCAAGATCGCACCGGCTGCCCTCGCGCACACCGCTTTTTATCTTTCACGCTTTTGAAGTTTGAAAACCAAACAAGATAGTAAACTCTTGTTTGGCTGTGGAGTTCGAATAGGAGGAATGCTTTTGCGATTTCAATTTTCATCTGTCCGTACTAAAGCCTAAGTGCGAATAAAGCTATTTTTAAGTTGGCGAGAAACATCTGCCAAAAATTTCAGCTTCCTAGCTTCTTTGATCGGTAATTTGAAAAACTCGGACAGATATCCGAACAGAGAGAGAGAGAGAAGGTGTTTCAACAGTACGTGCTTTACACTGCTGCAGCCGTGCAAAACGCACAAAAATAAATGTCTTTTCCCACTGCTCTCTTGTTAGTTTTGTTCACTCTTTTCTTAGAGCGTTTGGGCTTGTAAGATTTGCTGGTTCTAGCTAAATGAGGCAAGCGGTTTCTGGCTACAAATTATTCATGTGATTCAATAAGGCCAGTTTAGTGAGTCCCTAGTGTTTCAAACAACGAGGGAATGTTGCAGTTATATTAGCATTCATCAACAACGATCGACCAATATCAGTACGTAGCCTTCAATATTATTGACATTTGCTTGAAGCTACACGCAGCTGAGGCTGATGATTGCATGACATAGCTCCAGCAAGGTACCGCGTCTTCAGAAGGCCAGCTGCATCCGCCTAATTTATGTGCGTTTATTTGCAAGGGCCTTTGGAGATCGCCTCAAACCCCGCTCTGGGAATAAAGTCGCTTTCTTTCATAAACTATTATTCCTTGCAAAGCATCTTCTTGAAATTTCTTCAATAATTCTTAAAAAAAGGCATGGATATTTTTTGGGATTTAATTTTTCGAAAAACACTAAGAATGCATAATTTTAGCTATCGTTGAGGAAGCCGTGTAAAAAAGTGCACAACAATTGTTCGTTACTATAACTGAAGATATTTCAGTTGAAGAAGAGGAGGAGGAAGAAGAAGAGGGTCCAGTAATTGATGTACATCATCGCAGGTTTATCTACAGAGTCCACCCGGTACAAGCATCTGATCGTATGTTTTCTTTTGTTGATGAATTACACCTTTCCTCGAACATTTTTTGCAAGAAATAACAGTCAAGTATTGGTGCTTTGCTGTGTTAAATATGGCCAAATTTCCTTGTTTTCAATTTCTTTTTTTTTTTTTATATAAAAATATACGGAAAATGTGAGAAACTAAAACATCAGTTTCAGATGCAACAACATCAATGCACGTGGCTTCGGAGAGCTTCTCATCCGCATTACTCGAATCATCAGATTCTAAAACTGTTTCATCAATGGAAATGACAGGAATGACCAGTGAAATATCAGCACTAAGCCAACCATCCACTGGTCAACCAGAAATACCAGAAACGTTTCAGAATGCAACACAGTCTCCAATGGATGATTACATGCAAGCAAGTACTGAACAGAAAATTCCAGTCGATTCCAGCGAACAATATTTTCCTTCGGAAGCTGGACAGGTTCAACATCCGGAATTAAGTCAGGAAAGCCAGCTGTCCGATACTGCTGTCGATATTGGTACAACAATTGATGGCAAGAAAATCATTGCTGAAACAAGTTTCGATCAGGAATTTGATACTTCGTTTACGGTGTCAAAAAGCTTCGATACGTATGATGACTCCGACACACATCCAGCAGATACCGGTGGCAGTCAGGTTTCTTCCGGAATCCAGCACGAATCACTTTTTGGCACTACTAGCGAAAGTTTTCTCAGTTATCCAACTTCTGATTTCAACCTGATTGACACCATCACTAGCGATACCAGCAGATCAGATACCAGTGGTCCTGAACTTATTATGGGTTTAACAGTGGACGGCGAAAAAATTGTCAGCGGTTTCAGTGTTCCGTCTGAAGAACAGCCTGGAAGAACTGTACCCGAAGCACCATCAGACGCGGTAAGAGTGAGTGAAGAAACGCAGTTTATTGAGGAGCCGAAAATTCCATCAGAAGCAGCGAATTCGCCAAGTTTGAGTAATAAATTTATCGTCGGCTTAACAGAACAAAATGAATCTATAATTGCCGGTTTGAGTGAGAAGTGTACGGGTGTACTGGGGAACATGATATCCGTTGTAACCGGATTGACATTGAATGGTGAAATTATTTGCGGTGGTTGTGCATCATTTACCGATCCATCCGCAATCACTGGAGCAGATTCAGCGAGATCCGAGGAATGCCCTGCAACCCAAGACATCATAGCAAATTTAACGGCCGAAACTGAAAAAGTTTTAAGTGGGCTAAGTTTACGAAACGACCAATCAGCATCGCAACAAAACGAAACAACTGAACACTCAGAAGCAGCAGCAGTGGAAGCAGTTCTCGAGCCAGAGGTCAGAAAATCTAATCTACACAATGACGCCAATGCACTCCTTCGCAGGGATTCTTTTTGAACAAATATTATATTATCTGTTATTGCTTTACAAATCTGTTTTTGCTTTTTAAACAAAATGAATATCACGGCATTTACAAAATCACCGCTGTCGTTGCAGTGATAGCAAAGTTCAATCATAGCAATAGTGGCGATGATAATAATGATGACGGCAGAAATTGTTATCATCACTATTATTAAGATGACAAAAGTTGCTGAACACGTAAAGATTTTGAAATTTTAAATGCTTTAAATGAAACCGGTTTATTTTGAAAAAGCACCGAAAAATTTGTCTGAACAAAAAACAATTAAAGTAAAAAAAGTAGTGCGCACTAGAGAATCGATTTGTTCTTTCATTTTTGAGAGCGGATATTTTTGATGCGGAGTGCTTCAAAATTCCAGTACATGCAGAAGCAATGAATTTAAGCCACCAAAGTTTCGGATTCAAAGCCTACTCAGTCGTCGACTTAAAAAAACCGTCTGATTCTGGGCCTTAGCACACAGGTGACGATACAGCGAAACCAGAGAGCAGCTCATCCTGCATTGTACAGGGAACAAATTTTTGAAAATCCCCATCTCGTTTTCATTTGCATTTTATCTGCTCTAACCCAGACTTAGCTGCTTCCCTGCCTGACCGACGCTCCGGAAGGTTCTGCAGAAATTAGAGCTCTGATCAAAACTCCTTCCAATCCTTTGCCAGTGATGGAAGCACTCGAAAAGCAACCCGAGTGGTATTATAACGCTAATAGCAGCTAATCGTTAATTGGTGCTTCTTTTGTCGAAGATTGTTTAGAAGCAAGATTATAGCAGCTTCGACCTCCTAAAAAAGTTTTTTTGGGCCAGTTATCATCACAAAGCATTAAAAAATCTTAGTAGAGGTTCAAGTCCATGCATAATCGACAAATTAGTACATATACACAAATATGCAAAACTAATGTGCTTTTTAGCATGCACAAAACCTTTTGACCGAGGAAACTGGAAAAAATGCTGCTTCGAAGTAGCAGACAGAGATAAGTGATGAGACTGAGAAAATTTCTGACCAACTAGGTCATCAGTTGATCCGTTAACTCGTGTTTCTTGCAATATTACTGCCGGCTTAGGCCTCATTTTTGCATCGATTAAGGATACAATGCAAACAAATATTTGGATCGGAGATAAGCGATTAATTTAAATAGCATGTGCAACGAAGATATATTGGAAAGCAGTCTGTCTTTCATCCCTTAGCTGTAAACACAAGCCGTGCGTGCGAAAAAAAACTTGATCGTTCTAGCGTTCTGTTTCCGACAGTATTGGATAGGTGTTATAAATGGAGTTTTTTTTGGTACGGTTTGCTATTTTCTTTTCTGTGAAATTTTCTTTAACTTTCCAGAAAAAAGCATCTTGCCCATTGGCTTTCTCAGTAACTGAATTTGAACAATACAGGCTCATGCGCATGGCATATTGCACACTCAAATAAACAAACAAACAAGACATGGGAATGGTCACTTCCGTTGATCGCCAGAACAGGATTCGCTTCTCGGACAGTAGCACCACTGTGACTGGACCAGTCTGCTAATAATCCACCTCGTTTGAAATATAATACCATCATCATTATCATCACCATCAGTGCCGCCAGTACGATTCCCTCCTGTTCCTCACATCTGTCCCATTTACGTATATTTCCTGAAAGTAGATTGACAAACAGAGCCCCGCAGCTTCATAAAACTTTATCCGTTCCCATGCATTTTCGCTTAAAAACAGTACTCATCAGCATTTTCACCGCTGTCGCGGGTAATTTTTTTTCATTTGATTAATTATCAAATATTTTCTTAGTCACAGTTTCCATGTACTTATAGTAAGAGTAAGGGTTTGTACGAGATTACTCCTCGTACAAACCCTTACCCTTACTATAAGTGCTTTCAGACTGGATGCATTTGCTCATCGGAGCATTTTGCCTCATTTATTATCTGTTTCAGTGTCCTGGTTTCACCGGGGAATCGGAATCAGGTCCCTAAAAAACGGAAACTTGTTTGATCAGATGCACGCTGTCGAGAGGCCTTTGTACTTTTTGAAAATTACTAAAGCGTAGTTCCTGTTTCGGATTGTTTTCTGCTGGACAAAGTGATTTTGAATTGCCGCTTCAACTTTCACATGCAAGATTTACTAACTGATATTCATTATCATAGTACTTTGATAAGGTAAGACACCAGTCATCAGGGAATTCCACCAAATTAAAAGTTCAAGTGAATTTTTTTAGTCGTCTGGAAGTAAAACTGATCGTGAGATGAATGATGAGAAAATCGAGGCTGCGCCATCCCCGTAGGCGCATTGTCATTTTTAACGAAAATCATTGGCAAGGAAATAAGTTTTTGCTAAATGGGACTGAAACTGGTTTGAGGTAGTGAGACTGTTACCCGATCGTCTAGCCAGAACAAAATAGATAAAACTCTGCCACGAACAAAAGTGAAGCAGCACATTTAAAAAGCTATGAAATTCACTACAGTACTTGCACAAAAAAAAATTTAGGGCACTAGTCGCAAACACTGCGAAAATGAGCGAATGTAAATAGTGCACGGAGAAATGGCCCATAACGAGAAAAGATATATCACCGCCGAAAAACCAAGCATATATTTTGATCAGCTCTTATTTCATTAACGTGCTTGTTTTCCTCCTCAGTGCAGCTGGCAACTTTTCGATTCTGTTCTGATTTGATTAAGCCGCGTCCAAACAACTTACCTGTTGAGCATTTTGAATGCAACGAAGAGGTGGTGAAAAACAGTTGGCAAACAGTCCGTGAAAAGTCTCAGAGTAATAACTAAAGTTAATCACTAACACCAGCCAGCTGAAGGTAATAAAAAAGGTCCAAAAAATCATAGCCCATTTTGTTTGCTCTTTTAATTCTGTAGACTTTTCACGGATGTGCTGGCAACCCTCAAAACTCCACGAGTAACAGGCGCAGAGTGGGAGCTGAATTTTTGAAGTGTAGCACAGTGAACTGCTAATATATTTTAAATCAGCTGCTGGTGCATAAAATACTTAATCAGAGATAGGAGATCAATCTAAATATCATATGTGATGACGACATATTGAAAAACACTGTGTTTTATCCATCCTTTAGCTGTAAACACAAGACAGGGTGCGGCGAACGGGAAGGAGTGAGAAAAGACGCTGGGAGAAGAAAAATGCAGTGATGAAGGAGGAGAGGATTTGAAATTTACAATATCTGGGTGTAGAGCCTGGTATAGGTGCATTCAGCGTGTTGCAGCATTCCAGCAAAATCACTAACACGGGATCCCCACACCGACTGTCCAAGTGGTATTAATATTCTCGGTATTTGAACGACAATTCAACAAGTTTTTTTTTTTTAATTTGAGTTAAGGTGCAAAGTGAACGAAATTTAATTGACCAAAACTCATGAACAATTCGCTCTCGCTGAATGCCAATTTAACTGATTTAAGAATTTTTTCAGCACAAACAAACAATTTGCAAACGGCGTCCGAGCAGTAAGTATTCACAACAATTTCAGTTCTAACTGAACTCCCGTTTTCCTACATTTTTACATAAATGATTAATTGTAAGCAAATTGTATTCTGGAGTGAACATAGTTTTTTAGCCAAAGAAGATTCTAGACTATGGGATTAGGTTATTAAATGATTTAAGCCAGATGGCTTGAAATTAGTTTATAATTCTGATTTACCCTAGATTCAAAATTAGGCAGTTTTACAAATTTAGGGCAAAGCATATTGGAAATCTAATGTTTTTGGAAATTTTATCCGATTGCGTAGGAGTAGATAAATGAATTAAAATCCGTTTTCAAACATCAACAGTCACATTTGTCCACGTTTAGAATTGATGCTGTAACTTTAGAATAAAGAATATCCGAAATTTTACTTGTTTGTTTGCACCGGGTTAAAGTTTACTGCACTAAAGCGCAAAAAGAAAAGATTCAGTGGCCACAACAGTAGACCATCATGAATACGTCTTGCTTTCCTGCAGTTCTCTCTTTTTTTTCACTTATGCTTGGTTTAATAACCCAAAATTGAGGGAACGAAACGAGCGTCTCGTTCTCGAGCAGGCTGACTGTCACTGGACAGAGCGACTGAAAAAGTCAGCTGCATGTACGGGAAAAAAGAGTATAAAATGTAGCTGGCCGAAATGTCGAAAAATGCAAAAAAAGGCGCAGAGATTTTCACAAACGTTACAGGAAGAGTGCATCTCAGAACGGTATTGATAATGGTTTTGCTACAGAGGTCAGTTTGCTTGGTGACAACGATAAAATTTTGCTCGGCAGTGAAAACTCACAAGCTGGTAAGATTCCCTTTTACTTATGCATCATGATTACTAAATCTCTGGATGGGTCAGAAGTACACCGTTAGTAGGCATCTTCTGATCACTTTTAGGAATGAAATTTTACTAAATGTGTCTTTCCATGTGAGTGAGATGAAAGAAAAGATTTAAAAAAAACCTCCGGTTATAGGAAATACTACGAATTTGACGCTGATGTCTACGGTGTTGTCATACGCTATTACCATACGATATCACCGTGCTCAAATACAGGCTAATTTGGGAATTAATAAAGCTACAAGCGTGATATTTTGAAACAATAATTCACTCAATCCGGTAGTAGCCTGAAGTTGAGTTCGCAGCTTAGGTTAATGAGAGAGAAACCGGTTTTTGCCTCATGACTGCGAGTGGTCAGCGGTTATGCCCAAAGTTCGTTGTGATTATTTACTATCCTATCCTCGTTTCCATCTTTTATTTCTCTCGTGGTTCCGGAGTTGAAACATGCGAAGAGGCAAAAAAAAGAACATAATGCACGTTTACCAGCATAATCAATCTTGTAAAAACGTGCTCTGAATTATTCACTTCTTCCATCACCTCCCATCCACCTCAGCTTCTCACTTTCTTTCCCGGTTACTTTTGCTTTCCACTTCCCACATTCGAACTCTCACCATTTACCATGTAACCTAGGCTGGAACGCACCAGGCGAGCCGGAGCGATCATGCGTTTTTGCACAAAACTTGAA